TTTTTTTTTTTTTTTTTTTTTTTTTTTTTTTGGGTCCACGTTCGGCCGAACGGCCGAACGCGTCGAGAGGGGGTGCCGAACGTTCGGGCGTTCGGCCTGTCCCGAACGCCGGCAACCCTGTATATATATGTCTTCAAATAGAACTGTCCGGTAAACCATAGGCAGAGAGGGACAAGAGGACAACAAACGAGGGGCTGTGACAAACTGTTTCGTCGGAGTTTCACAGACTCATCAGGAGGCTGAAATATACATATATATAGTCAAACAGAGCTGCCCGGTAAACCGTAGGCAGAGAGGGAGAACAGGACAACAAACGAGGGGTTGTGGCAAACTGTTTCGTCGGAGTTTCACCAGCTCGTCAGGAGGCTGAACCCTCAACAGTCTGCAAAATCCCCTAACTAATTACACTGCAAGTGATAATCCACCTAGCCCCAACTGTGGTTATATATATATCGTCACAAATAGAACTGCCCGGTAAACCGTAGGCAGAGAGAGAGAAGAGGACAACAAACGAGGGGCTGTGACAAACTGTTTCGTCGGAGTTTCACCGACTCATCAGGATATATATATATATATTTCGTCACATATATATATATATATATAAACATATATATATATATATATATTTGACGATATATATATACATATATATACTAATGGATTCACACTGCAAGCTTTCCCAGTCCCGGTTACAAGGTCCTACATCATCCCAGTCCCAGGCCCCCGTCGATTAGAATCTTAGGGCCTGGGGGATCAGGCGTCGCAGGCCGGTTGGCTACAATACCGTACAGTACCTGTAGGAGCATGTCAAGTCCCCAAAAGTACAATTTTGCAGCAGCCTCACAAAAAAGTTGGGAACCTTCCCAAAATAGCATTTTGGCAAGGCAGAGGCCGAAGGAGGCCAGTACCGATTGAAGCAGGAACGAAACAGTCCACTGCAACTGTATATCTTGGACTACAGTGCCAAAAGGGTCACTTGTTCATTTCGAAGAATTGTGGAAGTGTTGCGAGAGCTTGTGCGATCAAGCGACCTGGACGAAGAAGGAGCACAAGGGGGGAGAAGTGTGCAGTGCCTGGCTGCTACAGTCAGCCATAGCCAGGCGAGAGGGGAGAGGTTCCCCGGTGGCCATAGCCGCCCAGGATCAGTAAGGCACACAGTAGTAGCATTCAGGGTAGATCTAGGACGTCGAGAGAGGAACAGTCAGTGAGGAACAGTGAGGGAGAAACAGTGCAAGAGAGAGAGAGAAAGAGAGAGAGAGAGAAAGAGACTATCGAGAGAGACAGGGAAAGAAAGAAAGAGAGAAGAGAAGCAGCCGAGGGAGGAGGAAGTTGGTTACATACCTGAGGCTTGTTGCAGCGGTTCAAACCACTTATTCTCAAACTTTTCCAATTGTATATTATTGCACCTTGAGTGGAACTTCGAATTTGCACTGTTCATGGACATCACTCCAGCTTGTGTGAACTTCATCTGATTGCTCTCAATTTGCATGTTATATTCTAAGATTGAATCTTGAGAGGTTCATTTCACTGGTATTGGAGCTGGAACCCGTTGCACTGCAGTGGTGGAAGAAAGTCGGCAAGGCATAAGGCCGACGGTTGTGTGCGTGTCGGGGTTTCACTGTAGCAGGCGAGAAGAAGGAAAAAGGTGCTTAATCAAGTTTGGAACGAGATCTAGGCACCTGCTGAAGACGAAGACCGGCGGGGAGCGGCATCGTGAAGACCCAAGTGAAGTGTTTTTTGCCCTTAGCCCTGCCTGCTGTATCTTTTTGCTGTTTTCTGGTGAAATTTCCACGTATTTTCTTGGTGACGGCTGCTGCAGGTCAGTTACTGTAGGTGTCACTGTAGCGACAACCCCGTCAAGCTCGAGTCAGACCCTGAAGTAGGTAAGGATAAGTGTCGGGAGTAGATCTAAGTGGTGAGGAGGTGGAGCACACTTACTTGYTGTGCTGAATTACCGCTATGGAYGACTATCCCATGYTCGCCTTCTTGGCTCTCTCCGTTGTATGGGAGCCACTGTTCCGCATTGTTTTTCCGCTGGGATTCTACCGGACTGTTAGACACTGTACCACGACCAAATCCGCTATGACCACACGGCCATACTCAGCAGCAGAAGAGGCCCAAATTGCTGAGAAGTTGAGGGAGCAGAGAGAAAGGAAGGAGGCAAAGAAGAAGCAAGAGGAGGAGGATTTGAAAAATAAGTTAGAAGAAGAGAAAGTGAAAATGGAGGAAGAAATGAAGAGGAAGGAGGAGGAAATGAAAAAACAAATGGAGGCGGAAGAAGAAGACGGAGACGAAGAAGAAGAAGAAGGAGAAGAAGAAGAAGAAGAAGAAAGAAGTTTGGTGAGAAGAGAAAAGGGTGACGGTGCAGAAAGTGGCCAGGCGAGCCACTTACAAATCCACCAAGGCGGCGAGGGGGAATGGATGGAGAGATTTGGGTTCCGCAGTGAAATGCCCGATGAGGACGAGAAGGAGAAGCAGGAATTTGAAGCAAGGCTCGAGAAGGCTGAGCCTGAGGAGAGAGGGTTATTAATTGCAGAGAGGGATAACCTCCTCCATCAGCGGTTGTTAAGTCAAAAGAGGCGGGAGATAGAAGAAAAGAAAAAGTTGAGGGAGGAGGGAGAAGCGCTCCAGCGAAGGTTGAAAGAGCAGAGGGGCAAGGAGACTGACACAAAGGAGGCTTTGACGCTCATGACCGACGCCGTGCTGCACACCGCCTAGGAACTGACCGCACTGCAGAAGACCGTAGGGAAATTGGAACGACACCAAGAAAAATTTAAGGATACGTGGAACGATTTCCTCTGCGCATCCACTCACCGGATTGACGATAGGACCGCCAATTATGCTCAGCAGTTAGAAGACATCTTCACCAACAAGCTTGTGAACACCATCGCAGCAATAAAGAGAGGCGGCGGTGGTGGAGGAGGAGATGGTGGAGATCCGGGAGATGATGGAAAAGGAGGAGGAGATCGAAAAGGAGATGTGAACCGGAAGGGGAATGAACAGCGAACTGAAGGAGGAGAAAGGAGGGAGAAGATGAAGGTTTAGGTCTCGTGGACCTACAACGGGAAGAAAGAAGAGAACTTTTTGTGTTGGCAGGCAGCAATGGACACATACCTGTATGCGCAGTTAATCCCTTACCACGACCGTGTGTTGATGGCCAGTTCATGTCTTGGAGGGGGCGCTGCCAACTTCGCCTTATCCTTGATGAAGACAGCGGGTTGCTCGTCGATGGTAGAGTATTCCCAACGCAACCGCATAGAGGACTTTATGAAAGCTCTCAAGGAAAGGTTCGAGGACAAGAACCTGGCCCGGCGTACAGAGTACCTGATTCTCAACATATGTAATCGCAGGTGGAAGAGTGTGTCCGCTTTGAAGTCCACAATGGACGAACTGCTGCAGTGTCCCGAGCACGGGTTGACTCCCACGCAGATTCTGAACAACTTTGCAAGGGCACTTCCCAATCCTCTGAAGTCCCAATTGTACGCCCAGACAAAGGAAGAGGGCATGACGTATGAAAAGCTCAGCAAGATTGCTGTAGACCAGGCTGGTTTCCTTCAAGAAGCAAATTACTGCCATTATTGGAAGGATTTGCAGAAAGGGAACCGATGGAAAAACAAGACCATATCCGGTAACATCGAGGGGAAGGACGGGCTTCTAGTTACATTTGAGGAGGGGGGAGTGGAGGCTCTACCCTACGAAAACATAGATTACGGACTGGAAGACCCGGACAGCAACCAATTAGCCCAGGGAGGGGACAATGCGGTTGTTGCAGCCCGCGGGGGAGGGCGACAAGGAGGTAGAGGAGGCCGAGGTAGAGGAGGTCGAGGTAGAGGAGGCCGAGGAAGAGGTGAAGGTAGAGGACGCGGCACCCAGGGGAGTAGCAGCGAAGGTAGCTACTACGTGGGAGGTAGGGGTAATGGTTCCCCACAAGGTGGATGTGGTTCTCCCTTCACAGGAGGAAGAGGTAGAGGGCGCAAGCCATGGCCAGCCAATCCCGGGATTGCTGATGGCGAGCCCTGGAAGGAGATGGGCATTGACCAGACAGTGTGGCAGAAAAGGCTGAACGCCAATCAATGCTTGCAATGTGGTGATCCTTATCACATTGTCTGTTTTTGCTTCGGCTACCGCTACCCAAAAGGGAGCAGCCAGTAGGGGTGGCAGCTGCTCCTACAGGGCCTTCAGACTTGGACAAAGAGATAGAAGCGCGCGCTGAACAGGCACCCTCCTGTCTGAAGAGCCCAATGGTAGAAGCTGATGCAGGCCCCCACCTAGATGGTTGTCCAGAGACCACTTGTGCTAGGGTCTCTCTAGGTGGTTCCCTCGCAGGCATTGGTGATGAGCTGATCACTCGTCGCCCCGCCTGGGCTGTGCTAAAATGAAGAAGAGAAGAGGACAGCTAATTTTGGGAGATGTAGAGATTAGTCGGACGCGAGTAGGAGCCTTAGTGGATAGTGGCTCTACGCGTAGTTTTATTAGTAGAAGAGGACTGAAGAAGTTGCACTTAGGAATGAAGGTGCAGAAGTTGAGCGAGCCGGTAGTGAGGAGACTGGTCGATAATCGTGAGGTGCGTGTGGAGGAATATGTCGAGGGGATCAAGGCATACTTCCGGTTAGAGGAGGGAAGGAAAGTAGAGAAGGTTTTGCATTCCCTCACCCTCTTAGTGGAAGACAACCTTCCCTTTGACTTGATTTTAGGGACAGACTGGGGAGAATCAACCATGGCAGATGTCAAGATGGGTGAGCACGAGTGCTGGCTACCCAGCCCCACCGGGGGCAAGAAAAAGATGAGGTTGTTCCATGAGTCCGGTCTAGAGTCCCACTTATCTGTTTGCTGTATGAGTGCCCCTGCGTTCGCCCGACACGTGACAAAGGAAAAGTTGGAAGATCAGGTGTTTGTGGCCTATGTGAAACCGGTGAGTGAAGAGAGTAAGGGTGAAGACAAGACGCCGCCCCAAGTGGAGAACCTGCTGCAAGAGTTTGTTGATATCGAAGAAGCCCCAACCGGAGTAGTAGAGCGGGACGTCAAGCACCGGATTGAAATAGAGCCCGGTAGCAAGATTCCCAGGGGCCCAGTCTATAGAATGTCTCCCAAGGAACTGGATGAACTGCGCAGGCAACTAGATGAGCTGATTGAGAAGGGGTGGATAAAACCCAGTTCGTCACCATACGGTGCACCGGTTCTATTCGTGCCGAAGAAAGAGGGTGAACTGCGGTTGTGCATTGATTATCGGGGATTGAATGCTATCACGGTCAAAAATGCTGAACCGTTGCCCCGGATTGATGACCTCTTAGACAGGGTGCAGGGATGTAAGTATTTCTCCAAGATAGATCTGAAGTCCGGGTACCACCAGGTTGAGGCACAGCCGGAGGACCAGCACAAGACGGCCTTTAGGACTCGCTATGGTCACTACGAGTTTGTTGTGATGCCGTTTGGGTTGACCAATGCTCCTGCAACATTCCAAAGATGCATGAATGATCTGTTTAGAGATTGGTTGGATAAGTTTGTTGTAGTTTATTTAGATGATATTCTGAACTTTAGCAAGAGCTTGGAGGAGCATCAGAATCATCTATGTCAGATATTGACCAAATTGCGTGAGTCTAATTTTAAGATTAACCCGAAGAAGTGTGAGTGGGCCAAGCGTCAAGTCCTGTATTTGGGACACGTGGTAGATGGAGATGGAGTGAGACCGGAGGGCGCCAAGATAGCAGCAATTCGTGACTGGCCAACCCCGCACACGTTGACTGAGTTGCGGTCGTTCTTAGGACTGGCCAACTACTGCCGGAAGTTCGTTCGTAACTTCACTTCCGTTGCTGCTCCTTTGCGTCGGCTGCTGCGAAAGGAAACTGTTTGGAATTGGGACAAGGACTGTACATCAGCCTTCAAGAGGTTGAAAAAGTCCCTTATCGAGTACCCGGTCCTTAAAGTAGCTGATCCATCCTTACCGTTTGTTATAACTACCGATGCTAGCCAGTACGGCATTGGCGCTGTTCTCCAACATCAACTTATGAGCGTGAGCTCTTCGCCCTCAGACAGGCTTTAGACCATTGGCGACACTACCTGCTAGGACGACACTTCAAGGTATACTCAGATCATGAAACTCTGCGTTGGTTGAAGACCCAAGTCCACATGACTCCTAAGTTGACTAGGTGGGCTGGGGAGATTGATCAGTTTGATTTTGAGTTGAAACCAGTCAAGGGTAAGTACAATTTTGAGTTGAAACCAGTCAAGGGTAAGTACAATGTCGTTGCTGATGCATTGAGCAGAAGTGCAGATTTCTTTGGTGCAATAGTGACTTACCTAGACGTTGGCGCAAATCTGCAGCAAAAGATCAAGGCTGCATACACTGATGATCCCGTGTATAGTACGCTGATAAAGAAGGTGCAGACCACACCTCAGGAAGTCGCTGATTTCAGAATGGTCGATGGACTGCTGTTTGAAAAGACTGATGTGCATGATAGGCTCTGCATACCGTGTAATGAAGAGGTACGCAGTCTGATCCTAGGGGAATGCCACGATACTGAAGGCCACTTTGGCTGGCGGAAGACCTATGCTACCCTACTAAGGTCCTACATGTGGCCAGGCATGAAACATGATTGTATCACCTACATCCAAGGCTGCCAAGCATGTCAGAGGAACAAGAGTTCCACGCAGCCTCCCCTCGGACTGTTGAAACCCTTGCCTATCCCATCTGGTCCCGGTGAATCTGTATCTATAGATTTCATGGACACTAAGGTCAAGAGTCGTAGTGGGAAGAGTCAGGTCATGGTCGTAGTTGACAGGTTTAGTAAATTCGCCGTTTTTGTACCATTACCTGCTGAAGCAAAGACAGATCTGGTCATCAAAGAGTTCTTTAATCATTGGGTCAAGGATTACGGTCACCCGTTGAGCATAGTTAGTGACCGAGATACCCGGTTCACAGGGGAACAGTGGCAGCAGTTAATGAAGGTCTACGGATCTAAGTTAGCTATGTCATCTGGTCTACTCCCTCTTCGTCAGAAAACTCAGACATTTTGACCTAGACATAACTTCCTACTTCGAAGTTCCCTTCTTTCCGCGACTTGTTAGCATGTTTGATCATGGTATGCTGACGCTTGTTCATTGTTGTGATAGCAGCTTTGAGCAAGCGTGCATACTTGGCATTGTAGCCAGGCATGCCGGGCGTCAGACCAGGGGATCGTTCGGGGAACAAATAGGAGAGAGGATTGCGCAGCTGCCAACCATATTGCAGTTGATTCGGTGTCACAGCAGTTGCAGAGTGAATGGAGTTGTTGTACAACCCCTTCACTTTGTGTAACTCCTTGTCCTACGTGTTCTGATCTGGAACAATTAACGCGCGAAGTAGTTGAATGACAGTCTGGTTGATTTCCTCGGCAATCCATTGGCTTCGGGGTGTCGACCAAAAGTCTTGTTGAGTTTAATGTCGTAGATCTGCGAAGTGAAGTCCTTCCAGTCAACACTAATGAACCTGGTGTCCCGAACACTCACAAGAGTTTTCAGGGGTCCATACTGCAGAATGTACTGCTGGTGAAATTCTTCGATCACAAGCTCAGTTGGTGCATGAGGAGGTAGAGGAATCAAATTCATAAATTTGGAAAAACGATCCACAATGACCATGACTTGTGAATGTCCTCCCTCGCTCACCTTCCCCATGTCCGTGAAATCGATAGAGACCGACTCATCGGGCCCATCAGGAATTGGGAGGGGTTTCAACAGGCAATAAGGCTTATTGCGTATGGACCTTGGTTCTTTGACAGACTTGACATTCAACAATAAATTTCTGAGCAGATCCCTTCATTCCCGGCCAATCAAACTACTGCTTCTCAAAGCCGAAGTGTCCACTCCGACCATGTGCCAAATCCAAGAAATGAGTCTAGAGAGGCGCGTGGTTGGGTTCACACAAACGATCAAACTTCCCACACTGGCGAAATACAAGACCCTCGCACTCGTGAAAATCAGGTTGACTTCTAGGGTCAGCCTTGAGCTGCTCAAGGATGGGACTTAGGTCTGGATCCTTGGCAGTGTGTTCGACCAGATCCTCCTTCAGTTTCCTTCGGAGGTCATACGAGCTCACAACGCATGTCAAAAACTCAGGATGACGCGACAAAGCATCAGCAACACGATTATAACAGTCTTTCTTATGCTTCAGTTCAAAATTGTAAACATCAATGTCATGCAGCCAGTTGGTCAGTGTCGAAGAGAGATCAGTTTGCGTTTTAATCCACTGTAAGGTCTGATGATCGGAGTAGACCTTGAAGTGACGACCCAAGAGGCAGTGCTTCCAATGTGTGAGCGCGTCTCGCAAGGCATAGAGCTCACACATATATGTGGAGGTTGCTACCTTGTGGTCGGGCATGCGTTTGCTGTAATATTCGAGCGGACGCAGGCCATCGCCATCATCTTGTTGCAGCACTGCACCAATCCCATACTGGCTCGCGTCCGTAGTGACCACGAACGTGAGGTTGGGATCCGCAATGCGGAGCACAAGATGACTTACCAAAGCCTCTTTCAAGGCTTGGAACGCCGTCTCGCATTTCTCACATCACGCATAGGCAACATTCCTTCTTGTTAGTCTCGAGAGTGGGTGAGCAACGACCTAAAATTTGGGCATGAACTTCCGGTAATACGAGGCTAAACCAAGAAAAAAACGTAGTTCGCGTACTTTCGCTGGTTGAGGCCACTTTCGTATGACCTCAACCTTGGTTGCCTCCGGCTCTAGGCCGTTTGCAGACAATCGATGCCCAAGATAGGTGACAGTGTCCCTTCCAATCGCAGATTTCTCTAAGTTGAGGTGCAGTTGTGCCTCGTTGAGGACTTGCAAAACCTCCTCAAGGTGCTTGACGTGCTCTTCCATGGACTTGCTGA